GGTGTGGGGGTGGCGGTTGGAGGTTGGGTGGAATGGAGGGTTGGGTGAGGCACGAGGTTGCTGGTTGAGGGCCGCAGCCGCGGCGTTCGCCGGGCGCTTGGCGGTAGAGCGTGTTGCGAGGCGGCAGCAAGGGGGGTGTTGGGAAAGTGGGGGCTCAGCAGCAGAAACTGCTCTGCGATCTGGGGTGACCCGCTGCCGCCTCCCCGCAACCGTGCGGCGTTGAGCCGGGACCGGCCAACCCACGCGACACCCAAAGGCCTGGACAGCAGGCCAGATCTGCAGCACAGCACATACGTGCTTGGCCAAGCCAATCGCGGCGCCCTGCTGCTCGCACCCAGCCGGGCGGATCGCGCTCCGGTGGCGCGCAATCCAAGGCAGCCGCGCCGGTGGCGCGCCCGCCCTGCCCGCAAGCTGCGTCGCACCCCGACAGCGGCCGCCGCAAATGGCGGATCGCGCAGTGACAAGGGCCAAGCAGCGCCCGGCCCCGCGAGCCGCCACCAACCGCCGCTCCCGCCCCCTGGCCCCCCAGCCCCCGCCCGACCTTGCTGTCGGCCGCGACGCGAGCACGCCCGTGACCGTGCGCATGGAGAAAGTGGCATCCGTGGCGTTGCTGGCCAGGCTCATCTCGCTCATGCTGTGGGGCAGGCCGCCGTTCTGGTCCTTTCCTGCCTTGGGCTCCTGCGCAGCAGGGGGCAGCGTGGCGCGGCCGCGGCCCACGGATCAGCGGGCGCATCCAACCCATGGCACCGTCAAAGGGCGGCGACACGGCCCCATGCGAGCAGCCGAGCAGCCTGCGTTCAGCCCGCCCGCCGGTCTCTGGGGCCCTTCGCTAGTCTTTGGCTGAACGCTGCCGCGAAAGCAGCTGATTCGCTCCAATAGGCTGTGCTGGTCCCGCCAGTGCCGCGCTGTTGCCCTCAGCCAACTGGCATCCCCAGCTCGCTACGGCAGCCAGCCCGCCGCCACCTTCCATGATCGCGCTGCGGCTTGTGACGGTGCGCCGCACACAGCGAGCGGCGCCGATGCGCCTGATCGGCGCCCAACACTCCCGCAGGCATTGTGGAGCCGCACCTTCTGAGCCTTGCGCGCCGCCTTGGCGGCCGCCTTCTCGGCCTTCAGTTCCAGCTTGCTCTTGCCCTGCATGAACACAGGCACCTCCTCTTCCTTGGGAGCCATGGCTGCTGATGCCCTGCGACAGGGGCCCAGCGTAAAGGGTGGATTCCAGTGAGCAGCGCTGTGACGCGCCACTGTGGGCGCCGCCGCATTCCCGTCCGGAGGCATGAAAGGGCAGTACAGGGGTCTGCAGAATTACAGCGTGTTCTCAAAGGTGCCTAGGGGCTTTATCAGTGCGGATGCACACGCGTTCAGGCTCGGAGGAGCGCGCATGGCGCGGTGTGCGCCCGCCATCGATCTCCGGGCTCATATATCAAGCGCGCCCCTGTCATAATTATGATCAAAACCAATTTTCAAAAGCATGCGCAGGGTGCTGCGAAGCGGCGCCGCTGGGAGGGCCCGCTCGCCGCCAATCACCTCGGCGTGGGGCTGCTGCGGAGGATGTTAAAAGCCCTAGCTGCTGTGAGAAGGCAACTCGATACGCCAGCGCGTGAGAAAAGGGCCTGTTGCGCGATGGGTCACCTACTCGTTTTGAAGCTGGGTGTGTGCCATGCTCCGCTGCAACCGTCGCGGTTATACACTGTATAAACCGTACATCTGTGTTTGGGTTTCAAGATGTTGTATCTCAAGGCGATCACCGCTTGGGAGGATAGCATCGCAGCGCGCTGCAAGGATCCGGAAAAGCGAGCATTGATGCGCAATATGCGTGCTGGTAATGCTTTGTAACGTATAAAGTGCCTGTTTTACTGGCAGGCTTGTGTAGATAGGCTCCATCACAGTCGGCTGTCGAGGGCGTGCAGCTCGTGCTGCGCAGCGCAGCTGAGCTCAACACCGCTGCGGTCCCAACAGCATGGACGCCATAACGGGCCTCTGGGCAGAGCTGACTTGCGATATATGGTAAGAGAGCAGTTTCAAGGACCTGACAGGCCAGGACCAGCCTGCCACCTGCGGCGTGGGTGCTGTCGCATTGAAGGTTGGGCTTGCAGCAACTGCATGCAGCTGCCCACCATTTGAATTTTGTTCACAAATCCTCGACGCGCGCAGCGGCGAGCTGTTCAACAATGCGCATTCATTCAACCCGGGGTGCGGCCACACCTTCTGCCGGTGAGAGGTGCTGCCAACGGCAACTCAAGGGCTTGGCATCCGTCAGCGTGCCATCAGCGCGCCGTCAGCGTGCCATCAGCGAGGCCGGCTTCGCGTTGCCGATTGCCTCCAGGGAACGCACTTGATATGATATCCACAGCCAAGTATGCAGCCAACCCTCGCATGCTTGTCCCCCAGCGACACAAGCGCTGACATGCGTATCGCCGCCACGAATGGCACGCATAAGTGCGGAACGCTCTGTAGTTGCCGCTCCGAGCGGGGTACCGGACCAGGCATCAGCGTCTCACCCGTCCCTGCGCCCCGTCCCTCCACCCCAGGGAGTGTGTGGTGCCCACAATGGAGGGCCCCGGCATCGTCAAGTCCCAGTGCCCCACCTGCGGCCAGCCCGCCTGGAAGCGGGACCTAGTCTTCAACAGGTGAGCGCAGGCCTCATGGGGGACGGCGGGGCCAGGGGGATGTCACCTCCCTCAAAGGTGGGGGAATGATGGGGTGGCAAGGGGGTGCCTTCCGGGGAGCTGGGGGCGCGAACAGTGCCGGACAGTAAGGAGCGGCGAGGGCGCTGTTAGAGGCCGCTCGCACCCAGCCATGGTGCCAATGGCCACCCCTGGAAGAGACCTTCCGCCACTACTCCCCACCCGCCGCAGGAAGATCCAGTCCATCGTGGAGCGCGCGCGCGGCCTCTGCACCGCCTGGCTGGGTGGCCACTCGCCGCGGCGCGGCGGCGGCCTAAGATCTGGCCCTCGACGGCGGCCACTGCCGCATGGTCAGCCGGGCGGCGCTCAGCACGGCAGTGGCGAGGAGGACGGCCATCAGGCGTGTGGCCAGCAGGAGAGGCAGGGGGCGGGCCCACAGGAGCAGGCTGGGGGGCGTGGCGCCGGGGACGGGGCTGCTATGGGCGGTACGCCAGAGGCAATAGTGAATCCCGGTGATGCGAGGGATGGAGGCCACTTGTCCACAGACAGGCCTGTGGGGAGTGAGCTGCACCAAGAGCAGCATCTGCATCAGCACGAGGAGCAGGAGCGGCAGCAGGAGCAGGCGCCATTACCGCAGCAACAGCACCGGCAGCAGCAACAGGAGGAGGTGGAGGAGGAAAGGTGCGATGAAGAGCAGGGGATGCAGGAGCGGGAGCAGGAGCAGAACCGCCAGGCGTGGTTTTGGGGAGCGCCGGCTGGCAGGCAGCAGTGGCTGGGGCAAGAGCAGTCGCAGCCCGACCTGCATCAGGAGGAGCACCAGCCGCAAGAGCAGCAGCAGCAGCCGCAGCAGCAGCCGCAGCAGCCGCAGCCGGAACAGCCGCAACATCATCAGCAGCAACAGCCAGAGGAAGAGGAGCAACACCAGCAGCACCCGCAACAGCACTTTCGGGCAAGCCCCCCGCCACTTGCAGGGACCACAGACACAGTGACACACGTGCCCGACAGCGGCAGCAGCTGGGGCGCCGCCGCCAGCGACGCGGCCGCGGCCGCGGCGCAGCGCGCAAGCCTCGGGCGTGCACCGTTGGACGCCTGGCAGGATGAGCAAGACCGTCGGCTGCAGCCGCAATCGCCGGAGCAGCTGCAGCACCTGGACGCGATCGACGTTGTGCCTGACAGCCTGGACCCCTCCCAGCAGGTCCGCTTGCGCCCTGGCAGCCCAACGTTGCCGACTTGGGGCGCGCTAGGGGCGCCAGCAGCAAGCCTGCTTGGCGGCAGCGCCGCCGCCATGCTGGGCGAGGGTGGCGCGGTACCAGAAGCTGACGTGGCAGCGGGCGGCTGTGGGGCCTTGAGCCCGCGTGGCGGCGAGCTGAGCCCGGACTGGGTGCCATCCTCGCCCGGCGTCATCCAGGGCCCGGAGGATCACCAGCAGCAGCAGCAGCAGCAGCAGCAGCAGCAGCAGCAGCAGCAGCAGCAGCACTGGCAGCATTGGCAGCAACAGCAGCAGTGGGAGGCAGGGATGGCGCCTTGTGACGCCTCTGCGGCAGCCCCAGCGCGCCATACGGCAGCCGCCACCAAGATCGGAGTGCCTGGTGGCTGGGACAATGGAGGCTGCAGCCGCGGCGACGGCAACGCCAACTCTTTCCATGCTTTGTTGTGGGATCTCCTCGCCGCGGCGGAGCAGGCAGGCGCCAATGGTGCCGCCCCGCCCCTCGCAGACGACGCCTGCGCCTCGCCTGCCTGCAGCGCGGAGGCGCTCCCCCACCGCCGCGGACGCTCGCCGCTCGCCGATGCCGAGGCGGCGGCCGCCGCTGGGGCTCTGGCCTTCAACCCGGCCGTCGCGTACCAGATCACGCGGCTGCCCCCGCTGGACCCCAACGAAATGGCAGGGCTGGCGGCAGAGCAGCTGGAATTGGAGGCACACCTTCAGGAGATGCTGTCACTGCTGGCTGCTGCGAGAACCAAGGAAGCCGCCATGCTTGGCGGCTCGCTGGGCTGCGACGCAGGGGCGGGGGCAGCGGTGGGCGTGCAGGATGATTTGGTGTTTGCTGCGCCAGAGGCCGCAGTCCTGGGCCTGGGGCAGGACTACGAGCAGGAGGATGGCATTCCCTCGCCGCAACCCAAGGGCAAGGGGCCTGCGCCCGCGGCTGCCGCAGTGCAGGACACGCAGCGGGGAGCGTGCGGGCGGGAGCAGCTGCGGCGGCTGTCCGAGCACCCAGGGGACCTGGAGCGGCAGTGTGAGGGGGAGCAGCAAAAGGCCGTGCGTGGCGGGTTGGATGATGAGGGCGGCACGGCCGCGGCCGCAAAGGCGCAGCGCCGCGAGCCATTCCAGGAGCTGCAGCCGAAGCAGCCGCAGCAGGCAAAGCAGGCGCAGCAGCCGAAGCAGCCAAAGCAGGTGCAGCAGCCGAAGCAGGCACAGCAGCCGAAGCAGCCGCAGTCGCCCGAGCAGCCGCAGCAGCTGCAGAAGGCGCAGCAGCTGCAGCAGCCGCAGCCCGCACAGCGGGAGCCAGCGGCTTCCCATGTGAAGCAGCACGAGGTCTGCGTGCGTCCAGAGCAGCGGCAAGGTCAGGGCGTGAACACGCAGCAGCAGGAGCAGCAGCAGGAGCAGCAGCAGCAGCCATGTGATGGCGCTACCACTACCGTGGGCGTGGGAGGTGCCCCCAGCCGTCGCGACGGCGAGCCCCCCGGCCCAGCCAAGCGGCGGCGCCTGGGTCTGAGCCACGCGCGGCCCCAGCACTCGGGTGCAGTTTCAGGCAGCGGTGGCGGGGCGACCTCCGGGGGCGGGGCGCCTTCCAGCACCACGGCCGAGCGGTCAGGCGGGCCGGGCGCGTGCCTAATGCCGCGGCAGCGGGTTGAGGGGCTTGCAATGGAGCCATGCGCATCCAAACTGCAGCAGCTGCCGCAGCAGCCGCAGCAGCAGCGGCAGCAGCAGCAGAAGCAGCAACAGCAGCAGGAAAAGGAGCCGCCGCAGCAGCAGCAGCAGCAGCCGCAGCAGCAGAAGCAGCCGCAGCAGCAGCAGCCGCAGCAGCAGCAGCAGCAGCAGGCAGGGCAGGAGCAGGAGACGGCAGGCGGCATGAAGAGGGGCCAGCAGCAGCAGCAGCAGCAGCAGCAGCAGCAGCAGCAGCAGCAGCAGCAGCAAGAGCATGGACAGCAGAAAGCGCCCGGGCAGGCGGAGCAGGGGGCACTGTGGCAGCAGCTGCAGCAGCGGCTGAAGCAGAAGAAGCAGCGGCATCAGCAGCAGCGGCGGCAGCAGCAGCCCCCAGAAAACACCATGGCTGCACTCGCGCCGAAACCGCCGCGCGCAGCAGAGGGCCGGCGCCACGACGGCCCCAAGCAGCAGCAGCAGCAGCTGCAGCAGCAGCAGCAGCAGCAGCAGCCGCCGCAGGAAGGGGGGCAGGAGCGCCAGGCGGCCAGAACGGCATCGGGCGAGGCGCCGATCGCATCGCCGCTGCCCCGGCCCGCGCGCCGAAGCCCACCCGGCAAGCGGCCGCGCGGCGGCGACCGCGCCGCGTCCGTCACGGCGCTCTCCCCACGGGGAGGGGCGGCGGGCGAGGAGGGGCCGGACGAGCCGCCGCCGGCTGGCCGGCACAAGGCGTGCGCAGCGGCAGACCCCGCGGCGCCCAGGCTGCTGCGGGCCAGACCCCCCAGCCCCGAGCGCCCCAAGGTGTGCGAGGGCCTGTTCGCTGACCAACTTATGCCCCGATCCCACCCAGAAGCTGCCTGTCTCACCTCGCCTCCACGCGTGACTTGGCATAGGCACCTGCTTGCACTCCCTGGCCGTGAGGTCACCCGTCCCCACCCCCCACCCCCTGACACACACCCGGCTCACCCAGGTTCTGGCCTCCATTGCGCTCGATCTGGTGGGGCTCTACATCGAAGTGCTCTGGCCCAAGGACAAAACGTGGGTGGGGCGCCTTCGCGAGATGCAAAGCCGCCCCCCGCAGGGGCAGCGCCCTGTGTGGCAGCGCCCTGTGTGGCGCCCCCAGCAGCGCCGATGGGGCCCAGCCGAGGCCTCGTCACCAGCGACCGGCTGTTGGACGACACGCACACGAGGCCCCTTCCCGCTGCCCTCTCCACATCGCGTCACACCAGCGACACCTGGTGTGCGCCAGCCCTTCCGCTGTTGTGTAACAGGTTCTGTTTATGCGCATGCACGCTCAGTCAGACACTGACCTGCCAACCCCCACTCCCTCACGTGCAGTTACTACCGGGGCCGCGTACTGGAGTACCGCCCCAAATCACGCGAGCACCTCATTGCCTACGACGACGGCGACAGGGAGTGGGTAGACCTGGACCGCCAAAACTGGATTCGGTCAGAGGCGCAGGGCCCCGGCGGGGGCAAGGAGGGCGGCGCCGGCGCGGCCGAGGCGGAGGGCGGCCGCGGGGGCGCCGCGGCGCCGCAGCGAGAGGGTTTGGTGGCGGACGGGCCAGACGAGGGGCCGCCGCGGCGCCGGCGCCGCAGCTGCGAGCCCGGGGACGACAGCGGCAGCAGCGGGGACGACAGCCGGGACGGGGACTGGCGGGAACCGTGCCCGCGGCGCGCCAGGAAAGCCAAGGACGCGCCCGGCCGCCGCCGGGAGCGGCGGCGCGAAAAGGAGGCGCGCGGCGAGCGGGGGCGCCGGCAAAAGCGGGACAAGGAGCAGCGGCCGCCGAAGCGGGAGCGGAAGCACAAGCGGCAGCAGGCGGCCCTGTCGCTGTCAGCGGCGCCCTCCGACGTGGTCGGAGCCGGCTCAAAGGGCGCTAGCGTGCCGTTGCTCGCAGGGCTCGCAGCGGCACCAAGGGATGCTGCAGCGGCTGTGCGTGGCCAGGAGACGCATCAGCCGCGGCAGCAAGCGTCGCAGCAGGTGGCGCGCGGCGCCCTCCCGCCCCTGCTCGCCGCTGCCGTCGCCGCAGAGGCCGCGATGGCCGAGCAGTCGGCGCCCCGCGCCTCCGGCTCCCCTGCGGGCGCCTCCAGGCCGCCGCCAGACGCGAGCCTGAGCTCTGGCGGCCTGGGGCTGGCCGCGAGCCTGTTTGGAGACTTTGTGGCAGAGGTGGGCCGGCAGCGGCAGGAGCAGCAGCCCGAGCAGCAGCAGCAGCAGCAGCAGCAGCAGCGGCGGGGGGAGGTGGGGCGGGCGACAGAGGGTTGCGCAGCGAAAGAGGCACCCCCTGTCCACGGCAGCGGCCCACACAGGAGTAAGGAGGCCTTGGCGGTTGCGGCTGGCGCAGGACAGGAGGGGCCGCAGCCGGCGCTGGCGCCGGCGCCACGGGGGCGGAGACGGAGGCCGGTGGAGGAGGACTCGTGGTCGGCGCACGAGGGCGACACAATCGCGCCTGCACCACCTCGGCAAAAGCAGAAGAAGCAGAAGCAACTCAAGCTGAAGCAGCACAAGCAGAAGGAGCGCACGCAGAAGGAGCACAAGCAGCAGCAGCAGCAGCAGCACCCGCAGCAGCAGCAGCCGCCGCCGCAGCAACAGCAGCAGCAGCACCCGCAGCAGCAGCAGCCGCCGCCGCAGCAACAGCAGCAGCAGCAGCAGCGGCAGCAGCGGCAGCAGCAGCAGCAGCAGCAGCAGCAACAGCGGCAACAGCAGCAGGAGCAGAAGGAGCACAAGCAGCAGCAGCAACAGCCGCAGCAGCAACAGCCGCAGCAACAACAACAGCAACATCAGCAGCAGCAGGAGCAGCAGCAGCAGCAGCAGCAGCAGCAGCAGCAGGGCGGCCCCATGGTCGTGCTGGTCGACAGCGAGGCCGTGCCCACCCACAGGAAGGGCATGGCAGCCCTCAAGCAGCAGGCGCAGCGCCTGGGCTGCGTGCTGGCCAAGCGGCCGCACCGGCGGGAGCTGGGCTACGTGGTGCTGCTCGGCGGCGCGGCCCCAAACACACAGGCGCGCGTGTTGCATGTGTGTTTGTGTGTGTTTGTGTGTGTGGGTGTGTGGGTGCGTGCGCGCACGTGTGTGTGTGTGTGTGCGTGTGCGTGTGCGTGTGTGTGTGCACGCGCATGCGCGTGTGTTTGTGTTTGTGTGTGGACGTGTGTGTGCGTGTGTGTGTGTGTGTGTTGACACACACGCACGCGTGCGTGCGTGCGTGCCCGCGTACTCCTTTGCCGGCTTGGCGGGCTGGGCAGGGCTAGGCAGCCCATGCGTCCAGGACCACCGTTCCCGATCAAACGCATGTGCCGTGCTCAACACTCATGTCCAGCGCCCCAGATGGTCAAGCGCAGCGCGTGAGTGTGGGGCTTGAGGCGGCGCGCGTCCTCTCCCTTCACCGCTGGCTCCCCGTCCGCCGACGGGCCTGCCTGCCTCTCTGCCGCAGGTCGTGCTTGAGAGCCTGCTGCTGCGCGCCGCTGTCGTGGCGCCCGCGTGGCTGCACGACTCCCTCGCAGCGGGGCGGCCCCTGGAGCCGGACCGGTACCTGCACCCTGGCCGCCCGGGCCCCAGCGCCGGCGGCCCCGCGCGCGCCCTCGCCGCGCGGCGCGCCGG